GAACGAAGTCTGCCGAAATACCACCTTCGCAGACTTACTGTTCCTTTTCATGCATGCTATAGCATGTACTGCAAGGACCTTGTATGAATGAGGTGAAGCCCTTGCGTCAAATTCGTTCTTTAACACTTTCAAAATCCAAAACCGCAAATGTAGTAAATATTATGAAAAATGAGAATCCAGGGGATCACCTGCATTTGGACGGAATCCCTAATAGGAAGACCCCACTGATCCCAGGCATTGTAGAATGCGAGTCGCCAAGGCAATGAATCGCTCAGGCCGGACATCACTCGTTCACAAGATGACCACACCAATCGTCGATGTTCTTTGCTATTGTAACCTCTCTAAAACAGTTTTTCGTGCACTGATGGGTGCAGAAAGAGTCAAAATTTACCAGAGAAGGAGCACAGAACAGTATGCCTCCAAAATCAGCACGTTTCGATTTGAGTACGTCGAGCCAGTACTGAAAAATGCATTTTGAAGACACCTAGTCCTGAACCAAAATAGGCAAGTCAAAGGATTACAGGCTGAGAGAAGCTAAGGAAGCGCATTGGATGCAAAAACGCACTTCGCTTACAACTGGGTGACTGCTCCATCGATGCAAAGCCGACACTCGGAATGATTCGCTCGTGTTGGGCACAATTCGTTCGTTTGCGACTTCCTTACCGTCCACCGTTGCAGGAACAGTGAATGTTTGAAGAACGCGCTCAGCTTCGTTGAGCAAAACACCAGATTGGGCACATGAGTAGTGAGGATAGAACGGCAATAAAACAAGACGAGAGCAGCCACCCCTAATACAACAATCTGCATTTGCTAAACGAATAGCTAAGCTTATAAACTAAATTTATTTAGAATTCAGATAGATTTGTGTATCAAAACACGAAAAAGTGAGGCAGACTTTCAAAATTACACTGGCATCCTCTTCTTGCAAAAACAAACAACTGAAAAAAGCGGCAAGTTCGCCATCAAAGCCAATCAAACAAAAAATTCAAAAAAGCCAGTAATCATTAATTCAATGAGAAATGAACGTACTTTCCAATGCTCGTCAGATGCCGTTCAATAGAAGGCTCATCGAAGAAGAAAGCGTTTGAGCATGTGATAGATTCGAATTCCGGCATAAGCGTATTCAGATTCTTTTGTATACGTTCAGTAAGACGAATTAGGGAGTTCTCCACAGTTTCCTGACTTCCATACTTTGAAATGCAGTCCTTGATCTTTTCGTTCAACAAGACAGGTATGGGAATGAATCTGAATGTTTAGGTATAAGCTTGAACAGATTTGATTGACTTAACTTCAAAAAGCTTTTTTCACCAATGAGTGATAGATTGAAAATCTAAGT